AGGGTTGTGGGGATCCCCCTACATCTTTGGTCAAAGAAGGTTTTCCAAGAGATAGGAGAAATCTGTGGAAGCTGGTTGGCTACAGAAGAGGAAACAGAGCTAAAAAATCATATGAAGTGGAGCTAAAAAATCATATGAAGTGGGCTAGGATCCTGGTAGCTAACGACGGTAGCAGTATCCCAAGAGAGGTGGAGGTGTCACGCAACGGCACTAAATTTCACCTTCCAATCTGGCCGGAATGCTTGCCAAGATTTGAATCATCGCCGGAAAATGATAAGGGGGAAGATGAAACCTATTATCCAGTTCAGAAGTCTACCCAAGGGATTTTAGAGGAGGTCGTAGGTGATGATGCAAGGAGATCCCATCAAACTAGGGATTTGCTACTCTCTCAGCACGTGACAACGTCAGAGAAAGTTAAATCTAAAGCATGTGAGGGGCACGTGAGTCTTTTAAATGAGACTCTGGAGGTGGATCACCAAGTTGGGCCTAATTCCAAGTTACAGATTGAAGGCCCAGATGTGGCAGGCCTAGTAATTGCTAATAATTTTCAAGAGGACATAACGGTAGTCCAGAGCACCTTTGACTTTATCGAAGACATAATAGCTCAAGTGGCCATGAACGACAATTCTCAGTTACCCGAGAAGAGAAGTTCGCACGCGACGGTAGCGGAGAAATCAATTGAGTTAATGGGGAAAAGGAGTCGCAGATAGTGGGAGAGGAGGCTGATAGTCAGCTGGAAAGGAATTTTGACGTGGGTGGGGATGATCGAATCAAAAGTGGGGTTACTACTTGAAATTCTGAAACAGAGTTAGTCAACTGGGAGGTTGATGATGTAGAGCCTCTAATGGTGCAGCAACAACTCATAACTCAGGGCAAGGAAAAAGAAGCATCCAATTAGGTGCAGCAAAATCTCATTAAATTGGGGAAAAATTTTGGGATTGATTTCCAAGGTCATGAAGAGGAAGCCACAGAACTTCTGATGCAAATAGACAGTTGCAGACACGCAAGAAAACTGGAACCGTGCAGTGAAATTAAAAAAACTAAGACTAAAGGTGTACAAGAATTAAAAAACTTGGTATGTTTTGATGTCAAATTTAAAAGTACAGGGAACAGAGGAAAGGGGAGGAGTGCAAGTGCTAGTACTTGATGAATTTTAAACTAGTATCTTGGAATGTTAGGGGACTTAATAATTTAGAGAAGAGGAGGCTAGTAAATAGCATGATATGGGGGTGGAAGGCGGACATCATATGCCTTCAAGAAACAAAACTGGAAGGCAATGTCGTAGATTTAGCCAAGCAGGTCTGGGGAGGAAGGTGGATCAGACAAGCATATCTGGAATCCAGTGGGACAAGAGGGGGGGATCTTGATGATGTGGGATGAGAGAGCCTGGAAGGGGGAAATCTTAGAAATAGGGGCATACTCCATCACATGTAAATTTGAATCTCAACTCCAAGATTTTAAATGCCACATCACAGGAGTGTATGCCCCAAACTGTTACAAGGAAAGAAGAATAGTGTGGGAAGAGGTGAGTGCAGTCAAAGGACTAATGGAAGGACCATGGGCTATTTGTGGTGATTTTAATGTAACAAGATACATATCTGAGAAGAAGAATTGTACAATAAGAACAAGGGGTATGAAGGAATTCTCTGATTTTATTGAAGACATGAAACTAGTTGACTTGCAACTTGAGGATGTCACGTATACTTGGTTCAAAGGGGACCAACAGGAAGCAACCTCCAGGATTGACAGGATACTAATTTCAGAGGAATGGGATGACAAGTTCCAAAATTTGAAACAGATTCCACTTCAAAGGTTGATTTCAGATCATATTCCTATAGCCTTACTAGGGGGGTCTTGGGAAAGGAACAAAAGTTACTTCAAATTTGAAAATTGGTGGTTAGAATCTGAGGGCTTCATTGACAGAGTCAGAGAATGGTGGTCTTCTTTCAACTTCATACGGAAACCTGATTATAGATTGGCTTGCAAACTAAAAGCTCTGAAGACTAAACTTAAAGAATGGAGGAATGGGGAAGAAGGAAATTTGGGTATACAGAGGAAGAAATTGCTTGAACAGTTGGCTGATCTAGAAGCTGAGAGGGAAGACAGAATCCTTACTAATGAGGAGTCTGCCAAAAAATCTGAATTGATGTTGAATTATGAAGAGTTGATAAAAAAGGAGGAGATCTCCTGGAGACAAAAATCAAGGGCTCTATGGCTGAAGGAAGGTGATAAGAATACTAAATTCTTTCACAAGATAGCAAATGCACATAGGAGATACAACAACATTGATCAGCTTATGATACATGAAGAACTGAATCAAGAGCCAAGCAGAATTAAAGGGGAAATTGTTGAATATTATAAAAGGTTGTATAAGGAATCATCTCAGTGGAGACCTGAGTACATAAATGTGCAATGTCCTGTCCTAACAGAAGAAGATAATCAAGCTCTACAAAGCAACTTTGAGGAAAGTGAAGTGTTGAGATGTCTGAAGTTATGTGTTGTTGACAAAGCAGCAGATCCAGATGGTTTTACTATGGGTTTTTTTTATTAAATGTTGGGATGTGGTAAAGCAAGGCATCATGGACACCTTTCAAAACTTCTATGAACATGAAGTTTTTGAGAAGAGTTTCAATGCAACTTTTATAGCTCTTATACCCAAAAAGAAAGATGCCAAGGAGTTGCGGGACTTCAGGCCAATTAGTCTAATTGGTAGCATTTACAAACTTATCTCCAAAGTTCTTACTGAGAAGCTGAAAAGGGTGGTGGACAAGTTGGTAGACTCACAACAAATGGCTTTTGTTAAAGGGAGACAGATAATGGATGCAGTTTTGATTGCAAATGAAGCAGTTGACTCCAAAAATAACCAAAAGAAGCCAGGTGTCCTTTGTAAGTTGGATATAGGAAAGCTTATGACCATGTTAGCTGGAAATACTTAATGAAGATGTTGAACCTGATAGGTTTTGGGCAGAAATGGTTGAACTGGATAAAGTTTTGCATATCAACTGTAAGATTCTCAGTACTCATCAATGGTAACCCTACAGGTTTCTTTCAAACCCAAAGGAGTCTCGGACAAGGGGATCACTTGTCACCTTTTTTATTCCTGATCACTATGGAGGGTTTAAACAACATGATAAAAGCTGCTAACTTGAGAGGCTAGATAAGGGGTTTTGATGTGGCCAGAGAAGGTACTGAGAGACTAGAAGTCACACGCTTGCAATATGCAGATGATACCTTGATATTCTGTGATGCTGAGGAAGAACAACTGAAGTATCTAAGGGTGATTCTGGTCTTATTTGAAGGTATTTTTGGTTTGCATATCAATTGGAGGAAGAGTATGATGTATCCTATAAATCAAGTAAACAACATAAGTTGTTTAGCATCAATTCTGGGTGGTGAAATAGGAGTTCTGCCTACTATATACTTGGGAATGCCTTTGGGGGTCAAATCCAAGTCCATAGACATGGAATAGTGTGATTGAGAAGTGTGAGAAGAAATTGGCCAAGTGGAAGTCTCAGTACTTATCAAAGGGGGGTAGACTGACCCTTATTAACTCAGTACTTGATGCTTTGCCAACCTATACGATGTCCCTGTTTCCTATCTCACCAGGGGTCATTAAGAGGTTGGATCGTATCAGGAGGAATTTCTTGTGGCAAGGCAACAAAGAAAAGAAAAGTTTTCATTTGGTTAAATGGGAAGAAGTCATGACAAGCAAGGAAAATGGAGGTCTAGGAATAAAGAATTTGAAATTGCAAAGCAAGGCTCTTAGTATGAAGTAGTTTTGGAAGGACATGGGGCATCAAAGCTTGCCCAACCTAGTAAAGGGGCTTGGGGATAGAGGGTTTTCTTTTGGCATGAGAAAGGCAACATGGAAGATCTCTTTCCAGACATCTACAACCTAATCATGTTTCAACAAAGCACTATAGCAGATCTTTGATCACCACAAGGATGGAATTTCATTTTCAGCTGAATTTTTAAACACTGTGAACACTTTCACTGGACTACAACCAGGAGAAGATAAATTGTGGTGGACAGGAGATGACAAGGGAGTGCTCAAAGTCAACAAATCCTACAAGTTGATGGATCAGACAGATCAACAGTGTTCAAGTTGGCCTTGGAAGCAAATATGGAAGAGCAGAATCCCTCACAAAGTCTCCTTTTTTGTCTGGTCAATGGCTAAGGAAGCAGTCCTTACACAGGACAATGTTATGAAGAGGGGGAGAACTTTGTGTTCCAGGTGCTTCCTATGTGGTGAAACATCTGAGATTGTTAACCATCTATTTTTACATTGCAAGTACACCCATCATCTGTGGAGAATATTCCTAAGCCTCAAAGGCATCTCCTGGACAATGCCCAGGAAGGTGGTTGAGGCATTACTATGCTGGGAGGAAGCAGGTGTACATGCTAAGGACAGAGGTAGATAGAGAATTATCCCAGGGGCTATCTGGTGGGATGTTTGGAAAGAAAGGAATTCAAGATGTTTTGAGAGCATAGAGAACAATGTGCAGAAAGTTAAACTAAACTGCATTTTACTTTTAGTCTTTTGGTATAATCAGTTATACTCTAATGACACTGTCTCTATTATTGATGTGTTAGACTCAATTTAGACGTAGAGAAGTGAAATCAGGAGTACACTTGTATATAAGGTTACAGTACATGGTTTTGTGATATAATACAAAGTTACCAAGTTCAAAAAAAAAAAAAAGCCAAGGATGTCACTACAAAAAATAGGTGCCCACCTGTAAGCATTGCTGGTATAGTACTTAGTGACAAACCCAATAATGAGTCCAGCCCACAAACCAACTCCAACACACAAGAACAATTGCCTGCAATTCAAATCAAATGCGGAAACCTGTTAGCCTCAGTATTAGATATTTTAAAAGACAAGGAAAGGAAGTTCAAATTTCAGCTTTGTCATCTATTCAAGTACAAATTCCATTTTTCCAATACAGTCTTGTATCTTCAACTTCATTTCATGCCTACATAACTTCAACTTTTTCATTTTACATAAACAGCCCATAGTACAAGTCAAAGCTATCACTAGAAGTATTATCCACCAGATTCAACAAAGTCTCATACCCCTTCGTATTAATACGAGTTGTCTCCAAACCCAACTTCTCCCACACCCTCCCCATTGTATGCGTAATAAACAGCGAACCGGCAGTATGCTTATCGTGCTCAGCACATGTCATTGGCACCATCCTACACCCTTCTTTCTCAAATATATCAAGAAACTTGTCAACCCTTGCTGTTCTTGATCTCCCTCTACCAATTCGAACTTTATCAAACATAAAGATCAAATCTTTCCAACTATCCTTACCACTTTCAGGTCCAAACATGGGATGAGTACAAAGAATATCAAAATGGGTAGGCAAAACTTGAAGAAAAATATTCTTTGGAAATTCTTTAACAGATAAAACATCAACAAACAATGTGTTCCTCTTCAGCCTTCGAATTGGTAATGACCTAAGAACAGTTTCAGTTGAAATTATTGAAGTACAAAGAACAATAACATCAGGGTGTTCCTCACAAAGATCATGTGGATCTTGGAAAAAAGAAACCCCTAAAGAATTAGCAATTTGGGAATAATCTGCTCTTGAATAACCCAACACAATATGACCTTTAGTAACAAAGGACTTTGCAAGAAATTGACCAAAATTACCAAACCCCACTATAGCAATTTTTAGCCTACCAAACTGAGCATATTGATTTGACACCGATTCTTCATAATCACAAGGCTGTTCAGCATCAATAGCTTTGATACTCAGACGACAGCGGCTATGGTGGTGGCTGACTTGTGACGGAGAAGACACAGAGAAATGGCGGCGGTGGCTGGTGCTGCTAGTGGGGTTGGTGAGATTAGAGAAGCGATTTGAATTGGAGGTTGGGGTTGGCTTGGATTGAAGTGGGGTGAAAGACAACATGGCATATTGATTTGACACCGATGCTTCATAATCACAAGGCTGTGCAGCATCAATAGCTTTGATACTCAGACGACAGTGGCTATGGTGGTGGCTGACTTGTGACGGAGAAGACACAGAGAAATGGCGGCGGTGGCTGGTGCTGCTAGTGGGGTTGGTGAGATTAGAGAAGCGATTTGAATTGGAGGTTGGGGTTGGCTTGGATTGAAATTGGGTGAAATTCAACATGGTATATACAATACAATGTTGTCTGTACAGAAAGATTCTTGATTTTTGACCTTTGATTCTTGGACAATGGGAGAAGGGGGAAAGGTGAGGTATTTATACAGGAAGAAAAATGGAGGAAGCTGAAGAGCAATTGCACAGTGGTGGACTTTTTCGACAAAGGACATAGAGAGAAACGAGATTGTAATTTGAAAGGCACAAAACTTGAAAAAAAGAAAATTGAAAATGTGGTTGGGGTTTGGGGGTAGGTGGTTCAAGAATCAAAGTTGTGTATCGATCGATTTGGTTCAATTTTGAAGTTTATCGATTTGATTTAGACATGTTAAATCATTGTAGAACGATTAAAATATTAATTTATGGTTACTGATCATTATCGGTTTGATTGTTAAGATTTGACACAAAAAATAAATTATTGAAAATCACTTAGAAACAAGGTGACAAATCAAATAAATCATGTACATGAGTTGACAGATTGCATATTGTTCAAAAGCAAACATTGTTACCATCGTAGAATAATCGGAAATTTGAGATAACTTGAAATAAAGTACGAAACTAATTTTAAGTCAAAGACTTTATATGCCAAATTGTGTAAAATATAATTATTTAATTTAATATCGGGTTATCATTTAACCTGATAAGAAAATACTTCAAATCATTAAGAATCGATAATGCAATAATAAAAAAAATCAAAACATCACCGAAACATATAAAATTATCGATATAAGATCTTTTATGTTAATTCGTCGAAAGATATCTAAATTAAACATATAGAAAGTATGTTACTTTCAACCTTTGATTGTGAAATTCTTTTGCTACTACCTTATGTATATCTTCATCTCTAATCTCATCTCTGCGAGTATACGAGTATACCTACACATTTATTTGAGCATTCCATTTTTGCTACTTTCAATCTTTGAATGTGAAGTTTTTTACTGGCCAACATTTTATCTCATACAACATAGTTTGTCTATCTATCACTCTTTAAAACTTGTCTTTGAACTTTTATTACAACTTGTTTTATCACATCAGACTCTGATGTGCGCCTCCATTTCATCCATCTGGTTGCTCTATTGATTTTTCGGATTCAAATTATTTGAAACTTCATTTCTTATGGATAACGTATGTAGCAAGTCTCGTCTCCACATTAATATCATGTGTTACTTCACTGAATTTTAAATTAAATTTCATTTTTTTTATTTTGTACAAAAACATCACAAAAAATGGTGATTGTCTTTATTTTTGTCTGATGAAAATGACCATCAGAATGATGAACAAAATAACAATGGTGAAAGCTTTGTTAACGCTAGAATGATTTGGTGAGTCACTCAATTCTTGAATGATTTGGTGATATTTATATTACTCGAATTCTTTAGAAATATCAATGTGTTAAATCCTCTAAAATAAGTATATATTTAAAGAATTTAATACAAACATCAAAGAACACATGTACAATTAGTTCTATACGTCATTTTATGATCTGTTTGTTCAATTAAAATATTATTTTGGAACCTGTTTGTTCATAAATGTTTTTCCTTAACAATTGAAAAGTTATTTTAAATAATATATTCTCCGTTCTAAATAAAGTATCATCTTAAAAGTTTAAGACAAAAATTAATATATATTTTTCAAATGTAGTATCTATTTACTTGATTATTCAATTTTCAAGAGACGCTTATCAAATAGTATTAATTTAGTAAAGTACACATTATATTTATTAATTTTTTAATGAACATAATTTTTACTAAGATAAGAATATTTTGAAATGGAAAAAGTACGGTTTAAATTTTGATGAATAGAGTTATCATGTGATCGAAGATAGCAAAAATCGTGAAATTAATAATGTCTATCGAGATTCAATTTTATGTTCAATTAATTACAATGATATTGCCATTTATTTCTCTGTTAATTATGTTTTAGAAAAAAACAGTTTCCTTTTGATTTGAAAAAAGGAGGTCTATTTTTTCCATCCTTATTCATTTGACAAATATGAAGTGTGTGTGACACATTAAGTGAATTTTACGTTAAATTGAGAGATGATATTTGGATAGTAAAAGAAAATATATTAAAATACATTCTGCCAAAGATAAAAGATATTTTTATTATTATTATTTAGATGGATAAATTTCAAAAATAAAATAAAATAAGACAAGACAATGCATGTTTAAAAAATGGCAGTGTACCAACTCCCAAATTAATTTTTTTTTTAAAAAAACAAGAAGAAAATTTAATGGAAGGATCCTATCAATAATTTTCTTCAATGGTCACGAAGATTGTTTGTTATGAGATGTATAGAATTTTTTCGGGATTCTATTAACAACTTTCTTCAATGATCACGAACACAATTGTGATGAAATGAAAAGAATCTTTTCAGGATCCTATTAACAACTTTCTTCAATGGTCACAAAGACTGTTTATGATTGGATTAATATAATCTTTTTATGATCTTTATTTTATAATTAAACATTTTGGATCCAAGTTTCATATACAATTTCTTTTATTAGGGAGTGATTTCCTTTTAGAAGGGTCATACACCTGAGAATCCAGATTGATTGGGTCTAAATATAAATATCGAACATCGGATGAAAAATTAATTTCTAAAAGACATTTTTTCAATGGTCAAAACATATCTTTAGTGGCAATCTTTTATAATCACACAAGTATAATATATTCACTTTTATTTATCCATTATTACAAAAATAGATTTTCATTTTTACTCGACATCATTTTTATTAACATATAAGAAAAGATCATTAATATTTTTTATTTTACCCTTAACATTAATTACTTATTCCCCAAACAATTTTACAAAACTTGACATAAATATTAATTATGATAGGTATTGTAATGAAATACTCATCATTATTTCTTAAAAAACATTTAAAAAATTCAAAATGAACGGAAGAAATATTTAAGATCACAATCAACTTTTAAATATCTTTCTTTCTTAAATTTCATATATATATATATATATATATATATATATATATATAATTGGGGTGTAAGAAGACAAGAAGTTATACTATTTAAGATTCATTTTATTTTATTCAATTTATAAATTATAGTAAAATACATTTCCTAGAACCTTTGGTAACTAGGAAGTATCCTATATTAAATTAGCAAGATTCCTGGGGAAAAAAAAGTAACACATATGTAATATTATATTATCTCTAGTTTCTCGTGCTGTTAATTATTAATTATAATTTATAAGTAGTATTATTCCTTAGGAGTAATTTTCACTCTTCCAAAACTTTTTTATTAAGTTATTTAAGGAAAAATATTTTGACTAGATCTTCTATTATCTTTTGAATTTCGATATTTTAAATAAATTTTTCTTTTATTATATTTTTAATTATATTTTTAAAAATATTTTTGTTGTCAATCTTGTAACTTGTAGGATTTTTTATGTAGTTTTCAAATATGTAAATTTTATTTTAAAAATATTAAAAGTCTAAGTTTGAATTCATGATCAAAATTAAATTTGATTTGACTGTCGAAATTCGAATTGTAAATTTCGGACAGGTAAAATGCTTATTTTAGTGAGATGACATACTTGACCAAATATTTAGAGGTGGGGGTGGGGGGGGGGGGGGCTAGTGCTTTTGAATAGTAGTGGAAGCTATTTTGTATTTCGAAAAACATTTTCTTCCCTTCGAAATAAGCATTTTTTGAAATATTGGCCAAATAAGCTAATTCATTTTTAAAGATGTTTGTGTGTCTGTGTTTGTTAAGAAAATAATTGGCAAAATTGCATTGTTTATATTTTTGGTTAATTATGTGATAATCAGGTTGCAAATTCTTTATATTTTTGGTTAATTATTTCTAAGTTGCTTCTAAATCTTCCTAACTAAAAAGTAAAAATGTTAATATTTCATTGTAAGTATTGACCCCCCTCCCTCTCTACTTGCTTCCTCCAAGTTTATTTTATATAAAATTTTAGAGATTCATATTAAAAGTTGGAGGTATGTATAAATGCTAAAAACTCATTCATTATAATGTTAAGGAAAAGGCTTGAATATGTCAGTGAACTTTGAGAAAATGCTCATTTATAGTATTCGTTGAAAATTTGGTTCATCTATGTCATTTTCATTTGAGAAAAAGTTCATTCATCTCATTATTTGTTAACTGAAATGGTATAGATGAATCAATTTTTTAACGGATGACATAAATGAGCTTTTCTAAAAGTTCAATGACATATTCAATTTTTTCCGATTTTAAACCCCTTTATTAAAAATCTTGACTCCGCCTGATCCGGAGTAATTGCTCCCCACACTACACATGTTCCTTCTAGTCAAGTCCATTAAAAAGTCATTGATAATTCAATTTCCCAAAATTATAATTTGTTTCTAATTGGGCTGGACAGAGTGGTCTGCCATTATTTGATAAGTTGATCTCTATTTCTTTAGCCTTTTTTTCAGATTTAAAACGATTTTTTTTCAATTGATTAAAATAAATTAAAAACAACGGAGAACATGTTTGTATTAAATATGAACCAGATTGGATGGATTATACATAACAGTATCTTTAAGTATGACCTAATTTCAGAAGATAGAGAGGCGCACATACCAATTAATCATATTCTTGAATTTGAAATGAAAAGAGGAGTAATATTTTTTAGTACGGGACAAAGAATAAGACCACTTAGATTAGGTTAGCATTCACAGAAATGTTCTAATATAGAGTAGAATGGAACATGGAAGAGATTCATTGGCAACAATAAAAAGATAGGTGCCTAATTCCTTGCAATAGCCATAGGGGTCTGAACACCGTGATTGATGAATGGGTACGTGGATTAGGTCCACCTCTCACCCAACGGGGAGTAATGAGGCTAACTAACATTCTAAAACTGAGGCATAAATTTTATAGGAACAAAGTTATATTTCGTAACTTGTGCTATATAATAATACAAAAAATATAAACTTTTGCTAGAAATTTAAATTAAAGACCACCCTATGCGAATGGTTGCCTCTCCCAGTCTACGTTATGTTACTTGTATGTATGTATGT